CTCGTTGGTTTCAACTCCTGACGACAAGTAAGAAAGTTTGGACCCTCCGTAACACTTTTCTTACTCTACAGAGGCTTAGAGGGCCTGCCCCTCCAAGGATTAAGGACTTAGTACATTTCCCACTGTGATTGCCTCTATCCAACTAGGAACATTGCAACATTGAAGTGGTACATAACACAAAGGTTATGACTTTTCGGCAGCTAGAATATTGTCTTTAGCTGCCTTCCCCCATAGGAGAAAGCACCGACTACAACTGTTATGTAGTCCAGACACACTAATGCTTTTGTATTGGCTAAGCTAGATACTACAGATCGCCTTAGCCGCTGCGCATGGTCCTAATCTGCAGACTTGTCATACAATTGAGACTAGTGTAGTCTCAGGTAGAACAATGTTTGTGAGCCCCACGACCACCTACATTGCTGTCTACCAGATCCTTGGAACCTTTCACTAGGTCACCCAGGCAGCTAGCAGGTCTCACCATCTAGCTCCTCTAAGGACTCAGACGCACCTCATGTACAAAGCTTCATGTGGTCCAGATGTGCCTGTGGGGTGACTAAGGAGTCAGTAACCTTGGCCGTCTTTTGAGATGATAAGGGATTCCGCCACCTCAACAAGAGCAGAAGCGGCTACTACTTCTACAGGCCGGATGTGCTTACCAAGGAAGTGCTCGCAGTGCTTCCCAAGGTTGAAGGTGCCTTACCCTTTTTGGGATGCACACCCGTGGTGACCAACTGAGCTAGACTTCAAGCCGGTCTATCCGCACATCCCAAACCCTCTCTCATCCTTATAGGCAAAGTAGGACCTTTCCCTCGACTCCTAGACTGGTTGTCCTTCTGCATACCAGTCGCCTCTACAAACGACCAACACTCCTGGTTTCATGGCTGCCTACTTGCTCTGTTTGTACACCAAGATCGTCCTTCCGTCGATCCCGGGGTCGCTTCTTCTTCCTCTTATTATCCAAGCCCTGTATTGGCTATCGAGCGTCGTAGTCCAAGCCTTTTAGAAGAAGAAGAATCGTCTGTGGCCTAATTGGAATCACTTCCTACTCCTAGTAGGTAAGTCGCAGTGTGAGTAGCGAAGCGAATAGGGATGTAGCACAACAACCCCAACAACACAACTAGTTTCCTCTGTCATGTCGGAGTTGCAATCATTCTTGTCTCATCTCTTCCCCTGACAATAGAAACTGATAAAGAGACATGGCCCTAACCCAAGAATCAAGATCACGGTTGTGTCCATCGCCTTGTGCCTACCCATCCGACTACCTTGCTGCAGCTACGTTTTCTCCTTTCTCTAGACGCGTGTATCTGGCTGTGGACCAACCACTTGTGCCTGCTCACCGGTGACTGAACCGGCGGAACAGGTTGCCTGACCTGTTGCACAAGCCACTGGCCCGGCTGCCGCACTGTAGTTGCAGCCGTTGATATGGGGACAGATGAAGCGGATTCTGGAGTCTGCCACCACTATCTACTGATGAACCGCCTGCTGGAAATATGCCGTACTGAGGTACCAAGAGACCGCTCATAGGCAGCAATGACACAAACACACCGGCCACCACTGGGGGAACAACAACGGGTTGCGCAACCCTCACCGTAGGCTTGGGGCCTCTCTGCACAGCCAGAATTTAAATTTGACCGGCTATCAATGGGGTTAGCATTTCCTAAGACACAGCCTGTACTTCGGCCACACTGACTGGACCGAAGTGTCCACTTATTAGGAGCTTCCACATCCAAAGCTTCTAACCTGTTTAGTTCCACCTCGCGCGCCTCTAGTCTAGGCTTTCTTCTTCGAGCTCTATCTCGTCTATCCTCTACCTCCTGTATTTGGCGCTGTAACTTTGTGTGAAGGGCATCCATTTCCCTAATCTCAACGTCCTCCGTTGACAAGGGTTGTTGTTGGCGGTCCTGCACACCAACAGACTGACTAGTGCAAGGCCCTGATATGCCCTGACTCGAAGAGGCCTGGAAAGAGGCCCGGGACATTGCAGAAACGGTAGCCTTTGCTGCCTCGGCCTTGGCTCTAACGTGCGCTGCTGCTACAGCTGCTAGTGCCATCATTGCGTTGGCTGCGGCCACCTTTACCTTCTGCGAGACCCAACTCCCCTCAGCTGCTCTCTGCTGTCTCCTTTCCTCGCCTGGTCCTTAACACCAAGCAAGTGGTCGGCCGACAGAGTGCCTGTCCACAGGCAATCCTCCCCTCATCCAAGTCTGTGTCTCAACCTCACTGCCATCTTCACCCCCGAGCTACACGTGGCATGCAATCTGAACTAGTGTCCTCGCCGGGACCTACCGCAGCATGGCACCCAACCGCGTAATAAATATAATTTATGTATACCGTAATATACGGTCCAGATTTATCAGAAAGCAGTCAAGCGGTAACAGCAGATAGTTTCAGACCCCTGCAAACAATTCTATTCCTACTTTTGACTAGTCTGAAACAGATGCTTGCAGCAAGAATAAACGAATACTCATCTGCAACAGTCTGTTAGCTGCTAGCAGTCCGTCACAGCTAACTAATAAAAAATAAAAATAAAACCGTTTGTTGAAATGCATGATGAATGGGAATATTACAATATTGAACAGTCAAGCAGTTACTGGAATCTTCCGTCTTGAGTAGTCAATTTATGTCAACGTCCTGTGGCTCTGGTTCTGACGGCGTGTCTGAACGTCTGCAATCCGGCTATGCTAAGCCTGCCAGCCCTGCATCTTCTTTATCCTTGCATGCAACAAGCCTTACTTCTGGTTGATCTGGCTGATCAAGAGGCAGTTTAAGGACAGCCCCCACGGTCGTCAGGAATTATTTAACGTCGCAATCAGGACGACGATCGCAGCCAGGGTCCAACAGGAACCCGCCAGAAATATTTATAGTCGTTCTGGTGAGCGTCTCTTATAGGGCTGGCATGCCCAGCATGACCTCTATTGCGCAGCGAGCAGGACCAAGGACTTGCGGCAAAGCATGCGTGTACTAGTCCCAGCGGGTTGGCATGGTGACCACGACCCGAGTGCTTCGTCCAGGGCCCTTCAGAGGCTTTGCCCGTCTCCCACCAGCTTGCTGCCCAGGAAGAATGTCGACTCCCAAGGTTGAGCGCCCGCGACACCTCACAATGAGAGGACTCTCAAGACAAGACTCACTTCCTCACGGTAAGAAGTAGCGAGGAGGGTAGATCAGGTAAGGAGCAACGTACCTCATAATGCTGCCCCCAACCACAGATTTCTCACCAGGAACCTGTCGTACATTTATGGTGACCAGTCGATGCCTCGGCACAACCCACAATGCAATGCAGTTCCACCTCGGCTTAAATTGCCACCTCAGCAAGCTCCCATCATCCAGCGTGCACCCCTATGTCACCACGTAGCCTTCCAGGCACGCCCTCCCAACTCAGGGCCGCCTATACTCCAATGCACAAGCATTATCACGGCCCTGGCATTTCCCAACGAAGCACCAAACAGCTATATTGAAGGAACCACCGGAGTGGTTTCTAACCTGCTCCGATACCAAATTGCAAGGAAAATGAGAGATAGCTAGATGACAGAATCCAGATAGCACAATCACATTGAAAGCAAGAAAGTCCCACAGTGTCCAGATAAGCAGCATTCCGCCAATATTACACCAATGGAGAGTCGAAACACTGAAACCGAATGTCAATGAGAGCTTTACTCTCGTCCCCACCAACATACGTATCCAGGCCCTCTATCCCTACTTGGCGCTCGGCGCCAAGGCTACTCCCTACACAGCTACTTCCTGCCACCGGTATCCACAAAACCGGATCATCAGAGGAGAAAATACCCGCACCAATATGCACCGAAAGGGGACAATACAACCATAGGGACATGCAACTCGTATACAGAGACCAAATCAGCATAGCAGGAACAAGATGGCCATGCGCACCCTATTCACAGAATCTTCTCTACACAATCAATAAGTCAAATAAATGAGATGTAGGAATAAGACGGTCATGCGCACCAAAATCTTCCGTAGTCAAATAAATGAGACGTTGTACAAGTCCACAAGGAGACGGACACGACTTATTCAACGTCATTGAAGATACTCGTAGTGAAGAACTTGCTGCGAAGACTCAAGCTCGTCGTGAAAGGGGATCACTGGGATAAAGGCAGAACACGCCTTCCCATCAGTGCAAGCGCGCCTCCTACTAGATGCGAAAGACACCACACATCCTTACTCGTTGAGGAGCATTTCCATCCGCAAGAAGCCGGCAACAACGAATCCGCACCCCGGCCGTCAGCGCTGAACTGGAAGTACTCCTGGAAACAACGCAGGAGTCACCCGGAAATATTCGCTACGCCAGCTCAGCACACCATTCGTAGCACCGAGACCCGATGACAATCTCATAGGGACATCATCACATTCTTCACCACAACGCCTCACCACACATCACCACGTCGATTACAAGGCCGAATCCCATCACCGGCTGTAGCGAAGACCGCATCATGCATAACCCATTCACCACTAATTACCGCCAGCAGAAAGAAGAGCCTACTCATCGGTAGGATCAGAGACAGTATCACGAACCCCTTCTGCGTACGCGAATGCGCGGACCACCAAAGAGGGCTCATTCGTCACACAGAAGATACGGCATGCAAACACAGGACCAAAAGAAAAAAAGACATTCTTTGAAAAAAACATTGGCCTTATTTCTGGAATAGTTGCTGACTTAGGTCAGCAGTTTTTTTTCACTGGCAGGCAGGTACCGGTACGTAAACTCAGTGTTTTAGTTGGGCCGGAGGAGTACAGAGAAACGCAGAGACTGTGTGGTTGGAGGTGGGGCGTTGAACCCGTGATCGTGTCGTTGATTGAATATCCATGTCGTTGTTTGAATATCCTTCGCTCGTTAATTTATGTGATTGTCTTTGCTTGTCATGTTGTCTTGGCCGCCTCTAGGCTACACTAAGCGGCTGGAGCCTCACAAGCCAGTGATGAGAGCCCAGGCAGCGGCTGCGTTAGCAACGGGAGAATTGGCGGAGGTGGTCGCGGAGGAAATGGCTCGTCTGGAGGCGGACAAAGTCGCAGCGGCTGCAATTCAGGCTGCAGCTGTGGTAGATGCGCTTGCCGAGAGTGAAGCGGCACGGAAGTTTGCACAGGATCTAGAAGTAGAGCGTCGTGCTCGCGAGGAATTGAAGTTGAGTGTGACAGCAGCGCAGGAAGATGCGGAAAGAGTCAAAAGGGAGTTGGAGGAGGAAAAGCAGAGGGTGGAGGAGGAAAGGCTAGCTGTTCTTGCGGAGAAGCAAAACATAGAGTCTGTGAAGGAAGAGGCTCTCCGAGCGAAGGAGGAAGCGGAGGGACACCTCAGCGATGTACTGTCAAGCAAGAAGGAGGTGGAGTCGGAGAAGAGTTGGTTGCAAAGAGAGGTGGAGAGGGCGGGAGCAGAGAGAGAGGTGTTTGAGAAGGCGAGGGTGGAGGCGGACGAGGAGAGACAAGCGGCTGTGGCGGCGAGGAAGGCGGCCGAAGCAGAGAAACGATCACTGGCTGCGGCAAGATCAGTGGCCGAGAACGAAGCGAGGAAGGCGAAGGAGGCAGCGCGCAAGCTTGAGGCCTTGAAGAGGAGATTACAGGAGCAAGGGCGCACTGTCGTTGTCGACAAGGCAGAGGTTGTGGAGGTCCCGATTGTCACCCAGCGAAATCTAGACATCGGATTGGACCTCAAGGAAAATGAAACAGAGAGTGAAGCGGCGAGCTTGGGACCGGAACAGGTACCGTGTGTGCTTGTGTTTTCTTCCTCCTTTTGGGCACAGCAGTTCCTTTCTGACAAATATGAGTTAAATATCTTCTTTTTCTTTTTCTTTTTTTCACCATTTCACACTTCATGCATGGCATCCTTGGGCAGGGGCCTTGCTAATCTTCTCTGTATCATTCTAATTTTTACCGACTTCCTGAAGGACAAAGACAAATGTGTTGGCTTGAAAGACTCTGACAGACAATGTTCAGTCTCAATACAGCAGGCGATAAGGCCTCCGGGCAGTGTTCGATCAGGGTGAAGACGGTAGCTGATGCTGTACTCAAAAGGGAATGCACGGAATAATGCCTCACTAGTGGTGAATGGGCCCTGAAGGTCAGCACGGAATAATGCCTCACTAGTGGTGAATGGGCCCTGAAGGTCAGCTGCATAGGGGTAATGCGATGACCATTGCGCTTTGGGAATCTGGATCAATAGAACTCGTACTGCCTGAAGCTCGTTCACATGCAAGCGACCACCTCAGATTCGCAATCACCGTCTTCCCACAAATGGGAAGCACAGCCATTATCGCTGAATCTATGACGACCGAGTGTTCTATTTGGATGGATGGGAGCCCAAAT